TTCACCAGGCATGTTATTCACAAGGGAGATGATGCAGTTTGAGATTCAATCGAGACAGAATTAGCTTTTCTGATTAGCTAGGTTGAGTGGCTAAGGAATAGTACTAATGATATCATTATTTCTTCTCTCTCTCCTACAGTATTCAGACACACAGCCATGCACACACATACACACTCACATGTCTGTTAGGTGTAAGCTGGCGAATCTTCAGTATGTGCTGTCTGTATATCAGCCTGTAAATTCCCAGGCCCAAAAACAGTGAATTCACCTCTTGTTGAAATTCCACTGTGTATAAAACGTTCTTGGAATTTGAAGGAAGTTAAAGAAAAACTCCAATAAAGGGAACATATCGGAATGCCAAGGGAGAGCATAACTGGAAAAAATACATAAAAATGCAAATTTTCCTAAACTTCAGGTTTGGGTGGACTGAAGCCTAAGTGAGAATGTCAACAAAGCAACACGAAAAGATGACAGCTCAGAGTTTCAAAAATTCAAGACAGCAGCAGGATTAGACATTTTGGGTTGTCTTCACACACATTTCTTATGGGAGTTAATTCCATTTGACATGCAAGACCAAAGCAAGATTACAGAGGCATAGCCCCATGGCGAGGTGGATGCTGTAGCTAAAAGCTGGGATTTGAATAATTGTGCAGGCTTACTCCAAGAATCAGGCGAGAACAGAATGAATGGATTATTACAAGGAACTTTGTACATTTTTAACTGCTGGACTTAATAAAATACCCTCTATGAGAGAATACTGTATGGTTGCCTGCACTTACTCTAGTTGAAGTTTGTGGTAGGATCTATCAAATGTGAGGAAAAACAGAAGTTGTTCTTTAAAAAAAGAAAGAAAAAGAAAAGAATTTATAATGAATGACCGGACTGGGTCATGCCTGAATGATTTACAGAGAATGCAAAGTATGGAGAACTTGAGATCAACATATCCAATCTCCTCTAAAGTTGGAGGGAATTCATTTCCTGTGCCAAGAAATGTGTAGAAAGTGAAAAATAGACTTCAGGGAAAGTGGACCACAAAAAGGTAGATTTTTGTTTCACTATTTCAGCTTGCTAGGAAGGTTATTTATTACTGAAAGAAAGTATTAACCCATAGATCGCGCGCGTGTGTGTGTGTGTGTGTGTGTGTTTCCTTGTCTAGAAAAGGCAAAAAGTAACAGTTCTAAAGAGTTCTCAATGTTTAATTAACTCTCTGGTGAGAATTATTAAGTTCTTTATAACATTCTTATTCAGCACTCATTAAAGAGGAAGATACAAACGTAAGGTTCATAGAACCTCTAAGAAAGGAAAGAGTCTTCTAATAGCTGGGAATTATGAAAAACTACTCAGTAACAGTAGCCATGTAGACCTCTCATTTTAAAAGCCACTGGTTCGGATCTGAAATGATTTGGTTTGATTTTCTCCCTTAAAATAACCTTCATCTCCTTGTTCCTGAAAGCTCATGTCTGATCTCTCCAGTGGTGCTGACCCTAGTAAGGAAGGCGGTCCCAAGGGGGAAGAGGAACATACTCTGGGGCCAGGGGACTGGGACACTGCGCCCTCTGCTGGGGAGGTAGCCTTCAGTCCAGCTGGAGCCAAGAGCCCCTTCCTAGAAAGGTTAAAGAGACACAGGCTTTCAGCAGTAAAGCCGTCCTTTCTAAGAGTGGCATCTCTTTATCATGACTGCGAGTGGAGATTAGAGGAAGAACATGAGAGGGTGTGAGTGCTTCATTAAACCAGAGCACACCTGCAGCTCTCCTCACAAAGCACGCCTGACAACTTCAGCCTGCCGTGCAAAATGGCAACAGGAATGATGAACACATTACAAATTTGTAGACCCTAAAATTAAACTCTACCTCATTTATTTCATATTTCAGCAGAGCTGTGCAGATGCACAGATCTTCCCTGAAAAGCTCTGTGGCTTCTGTCTTGGAGAAGGAATCAGTGCTTTCTGTGGATACATCCGGTCTTTTTGAAGCTCAAACTCTGTTTGCAAAGAAGCTTGAGGCAGCATTCTACAGAAAGATTTTGGTCCTGGGGGGAGAAGCCAAGGCATGTGTTACCTTAGCAAATCAAAGAGTCTGTCTTTCTCCCCCAGTCTATTTCATTTAGATCTTTGCTACTAAACTTTGGTGAGAGGCTACCTTTAGCACCACTCGTGAACTATTAGAAAGCCAGGAACTCAGACCTCACCCTAGACCTACTGAATCAAAATCTGCAAGTTAATAAAAAAACTCAGTGATTCATGAGGATGTAAACTTCGAAATGCACCACTATAAATATTTGAAGAGTAAACCCCAAGCAAAACTAGAGTGTGCAGCTTACGAGTAGAGGGGACAGAGCTGTCTAAGTTCTTTGATAAGATGGAGAAGACCCAGCAAAGAACACAGCTCCTTACATATCTAGGAAGGGTACTGTACACAGATCTGTCTGGTTCACAACAAAGACCAACGAAACTATCCTAGTTTACTGTAGCTAGTTTCCACATATTCTGTGAAATCAACAGGATAGGTGTCGGCATTATTAGCTAGGTAGGGCTTGCTTTTTGGTGGACAGACCTATGAAGCAGTTCTGTACTACTGAAATGACTTGTCTAAATTCTTCAAAAATTGACACAGAAAACAGATTTTGATCTTTCTTGTACCCACATAATGATTGATGAAACACTTGGGAAAAACAAATTGAATTATCTTATAATCTCCCAGGGAAACATAATTAAGTTGTAAAACATTTCCATGAAATCCTAAAAGCCTTATATCATCTAGACATGACTTCTGCTACCTGATCAATAATGATATTAATTATAGATAATTATTTTGATAGGCTGATATGACTTTGGGGCTTCACTTACCCTTGATCCTATGTACTGATCAAATAGGAAGGACCTGGTTTAAGTCAGTGCTATATAAAAACAATTCTTTTTACATTTATACTAATGTATACAAAGGGAAAATTGGGGGGCTCCATTTTGATCTCTTTCGGGACATTCAGTGGACAACACAACCTGTACAAATGATTGTGTTCACTGTCTTTCATTCTATGAGAATCAGATACAGGCTACCCATAGTAAGGGATAATAAACATGGGACACAAAATCTGATATACCTGACCCTTTAAAATTCTAGGATTTAGCCAATATATTTTTGTAGGTACACAAGTCTGTAGATAATGCTCATGGCTACTTGGACAGTGAGCCAAACAAAACTGCTTTGACATGTAGATTGGTATAACCACAGACCCTTATATATTTTGTATATGTCTCTATTAAGCATCCCGTTATGAAGACTGTCCCTGGGACACATGTATGGCAAATGCACATTTTAAGTAGAGGTAAAAACTGAGAACTCTGTTTGATTCTCTTCACGCTTGCCAGAGTCCTATAGGTGCATACCTTCTGACTTTCATAGAAATATTAATGAGCATTGGCCTAACTGAGGCAGATGTTGATGAAAGGTAATCATTCAAGGAATCGTATAAAAGTATGCTATATTCAGGATTGTTTAAGATGACTCTCATAATATGTTGGTTTCCATTAAAAATAATGTACCAAGTTCTAACAGAAAAGGATAACATAGTTGACAGAATCAGAATAGGTAATAGAGATGAAATTACCTACAAACACATGCCATTTCACCTGAATTTCCTTGAAACATTTCTAAAACCTCTTGCTGACCTGATGATCTTTAAGTGAGAAATTTAGGCTTTCTCTAAATAAGGTAGAGACTCCCATTTTTATTTTGTGTTGTTATTTTCTCTTGTGTGCTTAGAGCTCATGATGGAACCCAGGGCCTCCTATACTCTAGACCCTGAGCTTTATTCATAGCCTCGAAATTTAACACTTTAGGACTCAAGATTTTGACCCTGGGACTATCATTTAATCTATGACTTGAAAAAGTTTCTTTGCCTCTCTCCATGCCTCAGTTTCGTATCTATAAATGTGAGATAATAATACACACCTACCAAAATTATTTTAAGAATTTGGTGAACCAATAAGTATTATTAGATACCTAGAATGTGCATGGATGTGTTAAGCACCCAGTTTATAATGGTCATTATCAATATTCCCCTTACAATTTGCAGAAGTTAATAATACACGATCATATTACAAATTATTAATGAATGGTAGTCTTCTGTTTTTTGTTTTGCCATTTTCCAATGGCTTGAAAGCCTGTTTACTTATGTAATGCACCAACCCCGGCTTTTACAATCTTTCGCCCTCTCTTCTGCAGTGGGCCCTGAGCTGTGAATGTGTGAAGTTTAATATAGGAGTCCTATCCAGGGACACTGACGCTGCAGTTGTTCTCTAAAACTTAGTCAGTTGTGGCCTTTTGTGTGCATCACACTTTGTTGTATGAGGAAACAGATCCCAGAGAAAACCCTGACTCTGGCATATCTCTAGACACATGAAATTTCTTACTCTGTGCTAAATATAATTTTTTATATTTGCCGGCAAGGATACTGTATATCACTCATCAAAGAAGCTGATTTTTGCAACAGATGGAGGCTATTTCAGAGTTCTACAACTGGTCACACTCAGAGAATATCTGTGTAGAGATGCCCAGAAGTAAGTGACACATCTACAGTGGAACGGCTACACCTAAGGCTCATGGAACACAGTGAACAGGGGGTAGAGAGTACTAACACATCCCTCAACTCTCACCAGAAATGGTATTCTTTAAATTCTCCTTTCAAAGGATCTGAAAGTCAAGTTTTAGTCTCCAGCTTAATTATGATTCTTTCTTGAAAACATATTTTTTAAAATGAAGCAATTCATGGTGACTTGAAACATAATCTTACTCCTGTTACTTGACTCTTTCATGTTTGTTTAAACACACCAGAGAGAAAAAGAGCAGCAGTAAGTAATACCTCACAACTGGCTGAAAGTTCCTCAATAAGAGTTTTTTCATAAAATAAGCTCAATGTGACCCGGTATTCTAGCAGAGATCCTACCGTTCAGAGAAGGATAATCTGAGAATACACTACTGCAAAGAGCAGTCTGAGGTTCCTTTGTCTTTGCTCAGATAAAATCAGTTCAGTTAGCATCCACAGTTGGGCCCAGAACCCCCATGTTCAAAGCACGTCTTCAGCCAGGAGTCCTGCTCCTCAAAGACAGGGCTGGGCAGTGATACTCCACGTCCTGATGTACTCAGTGTTGTCAAGAGAGAAAGGGAGAGGATTCACTGTGTGTAGGAAGAGCCATCTCAAGAAACTGTTAAGACAATAGAAAAGACAAAAGGAAAGAAATATTAGGACAAAGTCTTATGAAATCAAGTATTCTACCTGCCTCCACCCCCAGTATCCAGTCCAAGACAGCATTGCCCAACCTGGTGTTTTCCCCTTACTCTTGACCTAGGGACTGTTTTGCCCTATTTCCTGTGAGTGGGAAGGAAATAAACCACGGGTATGATGCTGCTCATTAGAGGGAAACAGAGAGACTTCAAAAGAAAGTAACCTGACATGAACAAGGCCTTGCCAAGTCTGTAAAATAGAGCAATGATGACTGACCACGAGGTCTTTCTTAAAACTGTAGCAATTAAGCCGATTGAGGGAACTTAGAGAACCTGAAAAGATGTAGATAAGTGTGAGTGGTTTTTTTTATTAAAAGGGGGACTAAGGGGACAAGTTTCAGGAGCCTCCTCCCGAAAGAGAGAGAAGTAAAGTACACGCGCTGTGGCGTGAAACACTCTTGCTTAAATGCGGCACTGATATCCTCTTCCACAGACAAAGCTGTGCTAAGCAAATACAAGACAAAGCAAAATATAGAAACGGCCACCCACCGAAGCATCAAGATGCACTGTGTGCAACAGTACAGAGAAGGTGCAGCTCTGCAGAGCTGACCAGTAAGGAGAATGCCAAGTACAGCAGGGTGGATTTACAGAGATTAGGGAGTAGCAAGCTTTACCAGGAAGATTGCATAAAGTTCTTATTGGTCCTGAATCTCAAAAAGATGTTTTTTAAGAACAATGAGGAGAACCCTGCCTCCCATCAGGAAAGATCTCCTGTGATTGCTTTAAGCAGATAATTTTTCCTTCATTTAAAAAATAAAACTTAAAGCAGGCGTCGTGGCACAAGCCTTTAATTCCAGCCGACCAGGGGCAGAGGCAGGTAAGATAGAGGCCAGCCTGGTCCACATAGTGAGTTTCAGGTGGGCTGGGACTAGGGATACCCTGCCAAAAATAAATACACAAATAATAAATAAATAAATAAATAAATAAATAAATAAATAAATAAATATTACTTATGACACGGAAATCATTCTTTCTGGAGGTGATCAAGGGCAGGAGATAGGGGAATGTGTTACTGTGGTTTTGATGTTTAAGTATGGCTCAGACAGAAACTTAAAAGAATTTTTGTTAATCTGTAGAATCTGAGTTATGATAAAACAGACCTTAATAAAGCCTGGTTTCTAAATGAATAAGGCTCAGGCATTTAAGACTGTCAGGTGAATCTCAGGAACCTGAGTTCTATACCAGAGCCTATTCCATTGCAAAGGATCCCATCCTCCAGGGTCCAGTCAACAGAATGTCATGTTTTGAAATAATTATGGAAAAAAAAACATATACTGAGAGAGTGCAAAAGAAAAAGAAATGAGAGGGGAGGGAGGGGATGGGGTGGGAAGGAAGGGAAGAGGGAGGGGAAGGGGAGGGAAAGAGAGGAGGAAAAGGAGAAGAAATGAGGGGGGCAGAGGGACAGCAGGAAAAGAACCCCTTACAGATGTTCAAGAATTCAAAGCCACTGATGACGTCTAAGAAGCATGGCAGCCCAGACAACTTGGTGTCTGGCTTTCTCTTGTGGAACCACACTCTAATACCGAGAGCCTGATAAGGAGGTAGGTGCATGACTGGCACTTTCAGGCTACTGAAGATGGCTGCCCAAAGCCACAGGTTCCCCTTCTGGTGTTCTCCTACATCGGACGTCGCTCTTGTCAGTACTCCAGTAGGTTGTGTGAGACATTTGGAGACTTTGCTGTCTGAGGAAATGTCTTGTCTCCAGAGCTGGACAGGAGTAGGTCTCCAGGGAAGCAAGTGTTCTCCAACTTTTACCAAGGTAGACACTGACCACTGTCACCTTGGTCCCAGAAGCAGAAGATCCAGTGGCAGAAAGAAGTCCAAGGACTCCATAACGAACCTCCACTGGGTGCTCCTGGGAGTCAGAGACCCCCAAGTATGTGGCAAGACAAGATAAATGGAACAGAGACATTACTTTTCGGAAGGTCAGCCCCTACACATTAAGTCAGAAAACCATACCCCACACCATTCTCAAAGATGTTACTTGTTGCAGAACGAAAAGAGAGAAATGGCTCAGGGGTTCCTCAGTCCAGGAGCAGCAGCCCATCAGCAGGGTGGTTGTGACTGCTTGGGTCTGAGAAGGGTTACAAGCCCAGGCAGCCTCAGGTCTCTGCCTGCTGCTTTTGTTTTGACTTCCTCGGCAAGCTTTTCCCTGTGTTATTAAAGAAATTTCATTTAAGTAAGAAAGAAAATAATTTGTATGTGGACATACATGTGTGTGCGTGCTTATTTTATCCCAATAAATACAAATAAAAGGAAGCAAAGTCAAATGTGCATTTCAGTTTTCAGCTTGAGTTTTCTACTGACTCACCAATGAATCTTCTTATATACAAAGCTGACTGGAGGGAGGGGTGGGATTGAATAACAAATCTAAGTGATACAATCACATCATTTACAATCACATAATGGACCATATCCCAATTTTCAAAAGGCATAAAGTATCCTCATTAATACGATAAGTGCAGCAGTCAAATCAGCACTGTGATTTTATCAGGGTTTTTGACTGTACATGAATTAGAATGTAAAATGCATACAGAATTTTTAATGGGAAGGCTTTAACATTCACTGAATGTATTTCTTACTGTCATTTGCATCACATTAAAGTGAAATTCTACATAAAAGGATAAAGAGAATATGCCCTAAATTACAGTTTTTCCCCAGTTGTCATGTCCACACATAGAAAAATCTGATTCATAAGCCCGAGTGTGACCCTAAATCTGAAAAGGCTATGGCAGTCCCCTATTTGTTTGTGGGTTTTATGTGCTGTCAAGGCTGGGTTGAGCTCTGTAAGGTCAGGTTGTCAGGACAAAGCTAATAAAGATCATGGAGGGGGCAGGGTCAAGGAGGGGGATGTGTGATTATATTCACTGTTTCTAGAATGGTATTAGATACTGTGCCTGCATTTGTCGTTCCATTAGAGACTACTAACAACTCACTAGTGTCCCTAATAAGGATTCTGCTGCTTTCTAAGAAAGTCTCTAACATCAGTTTAGTACACAGTCACTGCAGTAAAGCTTATGGACATAGGCTTAATGCCTTATGAGTTCCATTCATGTATTACAATGTGAATGAATATGTACATTTACAAGATTATTCCACAAATGCTGTGTCATATCCAACATGCTTGTGTCTTCCTGCAGGTTGAAATATGGTCCATATGACAAGTTAGACTGGCTGTAATGGCACCTGGGGGAAGCGTGTGTGGTAGCATCTAGGCACTGAAGCAGAAAACAGAACTTCCATTTGCATTGACCTCACATCACCCATGGAGAAGTCAGCGACTGGTATGTAGCTACTGGTGCGCAGTCCTGGGGATCTAAGAAAGAGTACCTCGTATCCTTAAAGAGGTCAAGGTATGGTCTGCCAACCTGATACAACAGGCTGGGACATCTGATGCACACTACTGACTAGTGGTCTACCGGCCTGTCCTCCAGTGCATGCACAAGAATTTGTACTGAATGGCATATCTCTGTCATCATTTTGGACTTGGAGTAAAGACACCATGTCAGCATATGACCTCTAGCATGGCATGAATTGACATGAAACAGTTCAAATTCACAACAAACTCTCTTAATACATTTTGCCTCTTGAAAAGAAATTAATATTTATATGAGGTATGAATCCAACTAAAAATGACCAGCCTATCCATTTAAGCAATTTGTAACCACTTTATCTTTTAACAAAGAGCAAAGACTGCATAGACTAGTGTTCAGAATTGATGGGCACACTGCTGCCAATCTGGTTGCTCTCTCTTGATTATGCATAGATAGACTGTGTACACAAATATATGAATATATTATTATTGTTACCATCATTATTAGGAAAATACACCAGTTTTCTTCCATATCCCAAGACAGTTTTAAAATTAAAATAACCAGATTCGGGCTCAGTTGGTGAAGTGATTGCTCTGTAACTTTGAGGTCCTGAGTTCAGATCTCAGCACCTATGAACAAAGCTGTCCAACATGGTATACACCTGTAATCATAGCACTGGGCAGGTCAAGACACAAGGATCCCTGAGGCTTCCTGAATGCCCCAGTCCATCAGTTCCAGGTTTAGAGAGATCCTGTCTCAAACAATAAGGTGGAGAGTGGTAGAGCCATAAAGGAAAATGTCAGACATCATCCTCTGCCCACATAAACACAGAGAGTCGGGAGGGAAGGGAGAAGGGAACATACATGCACACTTAGACATGGAATAGCTAATAAATAGATTGGTAATTGATGAACTACATTTTAGCCGAGGCCTTCTTTCTGTCTTCCTCCCTGATTCCCACTCCGTCTATTCAGCCCCCGTTCTTTCTGCTTTTTGTTTCATCTTATTTTTAGGATTTTTGAGACATAGTCTCACTTTGTACCTCAGGCTGCCCTTGAATTCACACTTCTCACATTTCCTCCTCTCATGTGATGGGATTACAGGTGTGCACCACACCACCAAATGCTGGGGTTACAGGTGTGCACCACACCACCACATTCCACTTCTTCAGTCTTTATTTATTTATTTTTTTCTTAGTTGCTCTGTGTTCTTAGAATTAAGTTAGGAATTGGAATTTGGACCAAAAAATGATGCATCCAAATTCTGATTTACTTTTAGCCATGCTAAAAAATTTTAATGCCTAGAATGTTTGACATGACAAGACTTCTGTAAAGACAATGACAACTTGGGGTTGATAGAAAATTAACCCTTCAAAATCTTGATTTTAGCATTGCCTCAATCAATTTATTCTGTCACCGATTTATACCTGCTCTCATGGCAGAATGGTAATGCTCCAGAGTCTAGCTGTTGGAAGCTTGACCCTTGCTACAATTCGCTAAGAGAATATTAGCAAGCCCTTCACAGCTGGGAGGAATACTTTGCTCATTTATACTTTGGGTACAGTAGTTGATTGATTTCTTTGAGAGTCTGATGTAGGATGAGGCCCCACATATGTCTGGAGTAGGCTCCTGGAACTCAGTAGGTCCACCACCCAAGACACATTACTTTGTGTGTCAAAACCAGAATTCCCACTCTGTTTTTAAAGAATTTAAATAGACGCTGTGAATTCTGATTTCTACACATGATTAGACTATAGAAATTCAGGTAAGCAAATCATTTTTGTCCTTCAGTAAAATCAGAATCTATCTTTGTTCTCCTTTCGCGTCCTTGCTGACTTTATGAAGGTGCTAACAAAATTTATATGTTAAGGGAACTATGTATCAGTAAAGAAAGAATATATATTACTGAGCGAGGATAAATAATTTTAAATTTTTAATTATTTTATGTGTATGAGTGGTTTAACTAAATGTATTAAGTATGCCCTGCATGTGTGCAATGTCTATGGATGCCAGAACAATGTGTTGAGTCACCTGGTACTGGAGTTACAGATGGATGTTAGCCACTGTGTAGGTGTTAGGAACCAAACCTGGTCCTCTGCTAGAGCAGCCAGTGCTCTTAATCACTAAGCTATCTCTCCAACCTCAGAATCAGTAATTTTAGAAGGAATATTCTATTATACTCTTTGTTATTTCCATAATTTCATCAAGAACATGACTAAAAGTTGACCATTTATGCTGGTATTTCACTGACTTAAAAGAAAATATTAATGTTTTCTCCTAGTCACTCACCTCCTGACTCATATGCAACATAACACCAATACGTTTTTATAGTAATTTGTACGCACAATATATTCTTTCTGTGACAATATGCATTTGTACATCCTGGTCAAGTGCATTAATATTTCCTCAAACTCCGCATTTGTTTTCAAACTACAGATATGTCTAAGGCATCGCTTCCACCCGCAGATGAAGCCAGCACTCTATCTCCGCAGTCAAATGTATGCCGACATCTTTTCCTCCCTTCTAAGTGCATGCTGTTGGTTTTGTAGGACCTTATTACCTCTGATTCATTGTTTCACATCTCTGTCTGTCACAGGAACAGTTCTACTGTTTACTGGATCCGGATGCCTTCCGCTTATTGGCTGACTTTTAAGATTGCTTGAACTCTTTACTTCGCGGTGGCTTTTCTCCCCTCTTGCTGGTGCATATTCTGTTGTTGTATTAGCCTTCAAATAGAAATACAGACAAATACAGACCTGGCCATTCGTTAAGTTATTGCACTGCAGTCTTCAAGATTTTGTGCCTCAGAAACTTTCTGGTGTACCATATAAGCCTCTGAGGAATGATAGCACAACCTTTGCTACCCGCTGTTGTTTTGTTACTTGATTTGTTATAAAGGAATAATTAGCAATATTTGCCCTGTTTCTGACTAACCCTGAGAAGATGTCATTAATTCTGTTTTCACTGTGAGGTTTTACCTATAAGAAAACATGACCACGAAACCGAGTGAGGTCAGCTATGTAACTAATCTAACTGGCCTCTGATTTGATAGCTCTTCCTTTTAATTCAGTTGTTTAAGCTTTTTCTGATAAAGTGTATTTATAGAAGCAGTCAGGATCATAGGTTGAATCTTTTCAGAAATAAAAACTTACAGATTAATATTAAACAACCTGAAAGATGAATAGAAAACCTAAGAACCAAAATTACACATGTCACTTCATTCTGAGGCAGCTCCATTTTAATGGCTTCTCATATACCAGATTTGCATAGGGATACATATTTGTGGCCCTTCCTGGCTCCCTGTTCTTTCCAAAACTTTGCTTTCTCTGTTCTTCTTGGTCATCTGAACATAGTCTAGTAAAGGCTTCCTGGGTTATGTGTATCTACCTTTTTTTTTTTTTCAGGTAAATACATCAATTCTTTTTTGTTCCCCCAGTCGACCAATCATTATTGGTTTGCCTTGGTTTGCCTCAATGCTGCCCGTTGGGAAATTATCTGCTTCATAAGCGGTACTACCATGGTCTTTCCTGCTGTCTTCATTGGACTGGTTCTCGTCCCCTGCTTTTTGACGGGCTCCACGTTGCGTTAAGACTCAGGCCCATCTTGTCCATCGCAGATCAGTGAGCTAATGCACCCAGTGATGTCTTCTGTGGATGTAGGGAAAAGAAAGTTAGATTTTTGGTTCACCTGTTGCCAGAAGAACTTTCTCGGTACTCATTGCATTTCAGGCAAGCTGTGGGATACCCAAAGGTCAGGAGACCAAGTACTATGGCAGAACCCCTGGAATTCACAGAATGATCAAACAGTTTAAGATTCCTTAAAAATAATGTCCATGTGTGCTAGAAAGAATTGTCTAGAGTCACAAGTCAAGAAATCATTAACTATTTGACATTCCCGTCAAGTCCCACACCCCACGTTAAATGGTGGAATTTTCCCTAAGAATCAACGTGCTGAAGATCAGAACTTGCTCTACAACTTCTGTCTCTCTAGGCTCTGCTGAAACCCAGCAGCAATAAACTTCTGTAGCCTTCTAATCCTGTCAGTCAATTCCCATTTCCAAATATGAAAAAGACCAGGGAAGCTTGTACTCTTTTAAGGTCTCAGCTTCCCAGGTCATGAAAATGTCCTTCTCCTCGTTGTAAGTAGATTTGTGCTTGGCCCAACTCCACATCCAGTAATCCATTTCATAGTCAAGGTACACCGTGAGGCATAATACTGTGAATGTATTTATGGGAAAGTATGCTGTTTTCTTTCATTTCCTCCCACAGGAGGATATGTAGAGGAGAACTGTGGTCATTACTTATTTTTATTCCTCCTACTTACATCCAAAGAATTTCCAAACTGGTCTACTTGAGGTATACATGTTCTCACAAGATCGCTGCTCACTCCCGAGTCCCTGTCAGTTCTTCCTTTCTTCCAGGCACCAGTGCATTGACACTGATACATTGATGTCCTCCTTGTGAGAATTAGCCTATCACATTCATTTACATCCACTTAATTGCAGCTGCTATTGTTTAGTCCGTTAACCTCCAGCTAGGGTGCAATTCACGTGAACACTGGGGAAGCACAAGCTTTCGATTAGTTCTGCAAAGTAGATTAAAATCTTCTGCCTAATTGGAGATTGTCCATACCTCTGCCTTCCTTCCAGCTCCAGGTTGAGCCAGCAGCATGCCTTCAAGCAAGTTCTCTCCAACAGAATATGGAAGCCCTGACCAAACTAGATGGTGCTTTCTGAGCATGTCTGTGCACAGTACTCTGTGCTAGGCACAGTGTTGACAATTGTCACCAGTATAGTCTCTGCCAACAATTTCCAATTAACTTTCTGATTAGCATTTGCCTCATTCATGCTAACAAAGGAGCGCACACACATGGAAGAAACCCCGATTTGGTATATGGCTAATCATTAGTACGCCAAATTTGTAAGAATTTCATTTTGAAACAGTGGAACCAAGTATAATCCTTATGAAATGATTGTATAGTTTGGGAGGAACAAGAATAAAATATAAGTAAGACTTATAAATAAGTCTCAACTTGATTCAAAGCATAAGGCCCTGTTGGACATAACTAATTTATACTGAACCTAGGTTTGGCATAATAGCAAGCCTGCTTTGGTAACTAAGCTGTTGCATAGCAGTAACAAGTGAAATCTCAACGTTTTCTTGGCAACATCTCTCCACTCTGTGTCTGTTAAATGGAGGTGCTTTAAGATGTTTAATTATACTTTATCTAAAGAAGATGTGAACCTTAGATAACTACCTCAGAATCTCAAGAAATGGCAGGAGGTCAAATTGATTCATTTAATCTAAAATGCTTGTCTCAACTTACACTCAGTTTACCTCTTCAGCACATTTTCTGATTTCTCTGAAATTTACCTAACTGACAACACCCACCGGCACTCAGGTTTTTATGGCCTAGTATCTCTCTGCCTATTGTTTGTTACAGATATGATGGTCACATCTAAGGAGCACTTTGGTTGACCTCTGAAGTCAGTCACAGGTACAATATAAAAGCATACCACACGCTGTTGCTGTACATCAATCACATTGACTAATCATCTCAGCAGAACGTGGAAAAACATGTTTTACATCTCTTTATAGATAGACTGGGGCTCAGAAGGTTCAGTGACCCATATGATGTAACATAGCCACACGTAACAAAGCATTGAACTGAAATCCAATTCTAAATGACTGCAAGCAGATTTCGTTCTTTCTACCTCCCAGAAAAGAGGGAAATCACGAGTGGCAACTTGAAACAGTAAATGTTCACAGTGAAGAAAAGAAGGGAGTCAGCATTTTCTCTGCTCACGAGTTGTTGGTGTTGGGTATAACATCAAAAGCAGCAAAGCACAGGATGGAGGAGGGTGAAGTGGGCGGGACAGAACTTGTTAATGCTATGTGGTGTCTTAGAGGGACCAGTCAAAGCTGGGACACAGAGAGCAGCCTTCTGACCGCTTGTGGACAGGACAAGGGACGTGCTGCTTAGTGTGATCCATGGATTCCAGAGTTTAAAGAGCATAGTGCTGATTCTCTTCTGAACGTACTGTGGGGTGCGTATTGAGTCTTCATGGTATTGTCTGCAAACGCACAACAGTGGCAGTTACACACACAGTCACAAAGTGGAGCCCATTATGAACAAAAGGATGTGGCCAAGTTGTCAATGCCTTTTCCTTTGATCCCCGATTTGTCCTCCCATCTTACATGAAGGAGGGACCATGAGACAAGGAACAAACCATTAGGAACAAATAATTCTCCCTTACATCAGAGGAGCCAGGGAAAGAACCCAAATGGAGGGTCCACTCTATACTGAATTTTGCGTTACTAATCAAGGCAGAAGATTGTTTTTTTAAAATAGATTCTGTGTTTGTATCTCGACTGGCATTTTTATAACAACAGCTGACTGTTCAGGCTTACTTTAGCATCTTTGATCTGCTACAACTTGCAGACGAGAAAGACCTAACTCCAGCCCCCGTCCCATCTCCTGTTGTTCATATCTCTGCACTTTGGGGACCTTCAAATGCGGACACATTTCCAACATCTTCATATCTTTTCATATCTGTCCACATCAGGACTCCGGGGTACAGATGCCATTGGTGAGCTTCACCCCCTGAGAATGAACCCAGTGAGAAACTCGCACAAACCCTGTGTATTGTTTACTTTTCCCATCACTTGACAAAATACCTCATACAAACAACCGAAAGGAGGAGAAGTTTATTTTGGGCTCATGGTTTCAGAGGATCTTCTCCTTGATTGCTTCTCCCAGTGTGTTTGGGCAGAATGTCATGGTAGGGGTAGTGTGTGCTGGAGGAATTTTTTTACCTCACGGCAGACAGGGAAGGGAGGGTAAAGAAGGAACTAGGGACCAGGGATGCCTTAAAGATCAGCCCCCACCGATCTACTTCCCACCTTCTAAAGTTTCCAGAGCCTCCCAAAGCAGTACCATGAGCAAAGGTTAAGTGTTTAACACCAGGGCCTGTCAACAACATTTCATATTCAAATCCTGACTCCTGAAAGTGGGCTTGGGGCCTCATGGGCAGGAAATTTGGGTGTCTCACAAGAAGCATGACCCATGAGTAGGATTAGGGTTCAAATGGGAAAGTCCATTGGTCATTCATGTACTTGACTCTTTAAGAAGGAATAATTAGAGACAGAACAGGAAAACAAATAGTCCAGAAAAGTACAGTTCTTAATGCAAGAGTAGCTTTTCCTTATATCTTAAAGCAGTACTATACAAAATTCTATGAGAAAGGCCTTCCTGCATTTATATACCCTGTTTGAGTACCAAACTTCTGTCCTGATGCTTCACTAGTCCCATAGCATTTCAGGTAGTTCCATCATACCAACACATAGCAGCCTACACAAGGCACAGTCAGGTTTGCAATGAAAATCCTCAACAGTAGGGACGGATATGCTAACCTCATGTACATCACCTACATGAAAATTCAAACTGCCATTAAGCAAAGGAATAGCCTTGAGAGCCACTAAAGTTCTCCAATGTAAATATACATCCTGAGAAAGAGTGAGTGAGAGAGTGAGAGAGAAAGAGAGAGAGAGAGACACTAAGGTCTTCGGTATTGTCCTAAATGAATATTTAATTCAGCAGCAAATTGCCCAAGAAGCCAGTTGTCTGCTTCAGACTGCTTGTAGCTCCAGAGCTTGTTTGATCAGAAAAGTCTTGATCACTAGAGTTTTCCTGTGCTGTCTTGCTCTAGAACTGCATTAAGATCCACTTTCACTGACCACCTTCAGCCCTACTGGGTAGATGAGTTTTCTCTAAGAGGACCAGTTCTGTTAACCACACTTAAAATTCTCCTTTCAGATGTCTTAGCTGATCTACTGAATTTCTTGAAGTTTCTGTGTAAAGGATGAAGAATGTCAATTCTCCAGCCATAGAAATTGAAAAAGTAAAACCTGGAGACTTTATTCAGAATATGTGAAGCACCCCATTTGTTACTACTCCATGTAGCAGTGTAACAGTCATTTGTCATATCCTTTTTATTCAGCCCTTGAACATAATTTCTCATTCATTTGCTCTTAAAACTATATCAGTGTTAACCAAGAACACTTTGTTGAGAACTTATGATGTCCCACACCTTGGGCTCTTTACGTTTCATGAGTCCCCTTCGTACTGTGTGCCAATATTATCAAACACATATTGTCACTGTCTTCCCTGCTGGTGTGATCTCTAGAACTATGAGTAGGACTTGGAGACGTTGAGTAACTTGAACAAATCACACCGCTAGGTTGTAGAACCTTGAGTAGAACCAGACATTAAGATCCCAGAGACCACCTACTGCATGATACCAATGCTTGCTTACATGTATGAAACATTTCTGAGAGACTCAAAGAGGAGGCAAATATTATTCTACCTTTGAATGAAACCATAATCTAGGAGAAATCAAAAAATGGGAATTCTGTCAATATGAAGTAACAGGGACCATATTTACCTTCCCACCTGAAACAACTAAACACAAAAGAATCTATGATTACGTATGCACAGATCTGTAGGTTCATATGTCTATGACACATTGTATGACTGCATATACATGCAACCATACAGTTTCAAGGTATGCAATATCAAGCAATAAAATGAATGATAACTGAAATGTCGAAAGCAAATAGTCCTAAGATCATTCCACCAGCCTCTCTTGCTTGGGCTACGGAATAGAAGGAATAACTACTCCTGTCTTTCCTAAAGAAACGTGAAATGTGGGTCCATTCAAAGTCATGACCATATGTGCAGAGCAGCAGTTACATTTGTGATAGTTCAAACCTGGAAACAATTCCTATTGTATAAATCGAATGTGTCATGCCCAAACAATTAATAGTACTCTACAATATAAAAGGAATCACTATTGATATATGCAATAAATAGATGAGTCTCAGAATAAAACTCAAAGGCTTTATTCAGAATGGGTGAGGAACCACATAACTATCCCAAGGACAAGAAACCTACCCGCAAAAAGGAGGATATTCTGTATGATTTCAATTTAAATGAAACCTGAAATACACAAACAAATGTGATGTAATGAAGGAGAGCAGTGGTTACCAGGGTGCAGGAAAGGATCTCACAGGGATGATAGAAGCTTTTGGGGTGATGGATAATTCATTCTCGTGACTGTTATGATGGATCCTATGGTACACACATATGTCCAACCTTCTTAACTGTACACTGTTAATATGTGCAGTTTGTCTTCTGTCAGTTATGTGGTTATTAAGCTTTTTTGAAAAACACAGCACTTAAATGAGTAAGGTGAAAAGTTTCCCGTTTTTTCTTCTATTTTTACTAACCGTGGAGTACAGAATTCCTAAGAGCAGGAATACAGCTTTGGTTCAGTTTGGATCTCTAGTTCCCCAAATTGAGTGCCACAGTTCCTACTTCTGAATAACAAATTGCCCCAAATGTAGCAAGATAAAACAACCACACGCTGCATCAAGGAGTATGTGATTAGCAACTAGGGCATGATGGGCTGGCTCCTATCTGCCTCTTGATGTTCAGAGTCCCTGAGAAATATCTGGGATCCTCTTCATGCTCTATATGACACCAGTATAGAGTACCCAGTCTTCTGGTGAGTCAGATGGAGGCTCTCAAGGTCTGGCTCCCAAGAAAGATCCAGAAGAAAGGTATGTCACCTTCTGGCATCCGGCCTAGGGAATCACAAAGGACTGCTTCCATTCCATTACTTCTGGTTGAACCATGTATAAAGATTTTTCAAGTTTGAAAAGAAAGCATAGAGCCCCTACCTCCCTGGGAGTCACTCTCAACACATATGCCAACATTTTCAGGAAAACACAAAGACGTATGTCTGCGTCATATAAATGAGTATATTAACATTGGTTGTTTCTACTTTGTTTGAAATCTTACAGGTATCCATTCCACAAAAAGTGCATCTTCTTTGAACAACATGGATCCAAGAAAGAATGTACTAATCCAATCCCTATTGAGGTTATATTTCAATAAGATAAATATATGAGGAAAGATGAAGGGAAATATGAATAACAGCAACTTGGCCTTTGGGAATATACCTACTACTCTGAGGACCAACTAAAGGAACCAGTCAATTCTGCTTGGCCTGTATGGTAAATCCTGCCAGGCTGTGGTAAATTAGATCAAGATTCAGCAAATTACAAACAACAGTCACATTAATTGCTCAACAATTTGTACAGAAGCCTGAAACATAACTTTAAATTCATGTGTGTGTGTGTGTGTGTGTGTGTGTGTGTGTGTGTACAACCCCGCAGTACATGTACCTGTTCACACACACAGAAACCAGAGGAGGGTGTTGGGTGTCCCACTCTATCACCCTTAGTCTGGTTCTTTTGAGACAGAGTTTCTCACAGCATCTGGAGCTAGGATGGCAGTGAGCAAACCCCAGTGATCCTCCTGTCCCTTGGCCTAGCAGCACTGGGGTTATAGAAACTCCTGGCCATGTCTGGCTTTTAGGAGGGTGCTGGGGAATCAGACTCGGGTCTTCATGGCACAGCAAGGACTCTTACCTACTGAACTATCTCCCCAGTCCCTAAATTCTATTTTAGCATGGAATTTTAGAGTCAGAAGAGAGCACAGCAGACCTTCAAATCATTTACCAAAGATTACAGCCCTGTTTATTGCTTTCTTAAAAGAAAATATGAAATTGCTGATAGCTACCCTTTTGTTCTATGGGAGGAGATTGTAGAAGTTTGTTTCACAGGAATAGTTTTATTGGAGAAATATTTTGTAATATGTAATAAAAAGTGCCTTTACATATGTGTTATACCTCCACCACTGACATCATTATTTATACAGCACAGGCCCTATCTATTATTTTTATGCACTAGTAGATTTTGGCACTTCTGTGATTTCCTTTGATATATGATTTACTGTGTCAACTAATCCTGAAGAAAGTAATCCACAGTAAATAAACTGGTAGATTGACATTTGTCCAGCAAGAATATATGCTCCAAAATCTCAGTTCATTTATTAAAGAAACAAGAGGAAAGGTATATAAGAAATGCGAGTGCTGCTTCGGTTTTCAATGGCTAAGTCCCGTCCTTACCAAATATAATTAGGATTATTTGCTCTCTCTCTCTCTCTCTCTCTCTCTCTCTCTCTCTCTCTCTCATCTCTAAGACTTGTTTCATAATGAATATGCCAAGGGGTCCCAGAGTTAAGTCTAGGCCTCAGAACTAGGAATATTTCCATCAAAGAGGGGCTGCTAATCATAATGTAAGGAGGGAAAAAAAGCTATTTGCTCCTTTTGTGGGTCTGCCTCTCCCCTGGTCCTGCCAGGCCTGCCTGAACATCAGCAGAGTTCAGTGGTAATTAAAGCAACAGTGTTGTGAAAAAAGTGTGAATTACTTTTACAGGGAGACTTGGATGTTGCTCTAGACTGACAAAGCACAGCAGGGGACTCGGCTGGATATTAAGGAGTGATGGCAGCCCCAGCATCCTAAGGTGGCTTTCCGGCACAATGCAAAATTGTGACTTTTCACAAGTTGGTATCTCTGCAACCATTTGTGTTATCGGCTCAGATTTTAGATTTTTATTTTTTCCTTTGTCATGCTTGTGAGCAAAACTATATCCCATCTCCGGAAACGCAGTCTGGTAGCTGCCTATGCGCATCTAAGCTGTACTTTTCTTTCTTTGCTTCCTCTGGACTCCCATGGAATGATTTCAACTTGAAGGTTGTTGAAAATGTTAAGGAAAAAGCCATAAAGTTGTCATAGATTTGGCCTCCATAGCAGGTTACTGCAATGTCAGATGTCAAGGCTTTCTGTTTCTGTCATTTTTTTAATTTTTAAAAAATTTTTAATATGTTGTATGTATGTGTGTATGTGCACATGCATGTGTGCATGTGCTGTGGAGCACACACAGAAGTCAGAGGACCACTTATGGCAGACAAGTCTCTTTTTCCACCATGTTGGCCCCAGGGATTAAAATCAGGTCATCAGACTTGCTGACAAGTTCCTTTACAGGCAGTACCATCGCGTCAACCCTTTTTCCATCATTTTAAAGAAAAAGAATTGCAGATAAGCACACTGGCTGCTGACAATTCCAAGACATGCCAGCTCTGCTCTGGACACTGGGTAGAAATACCCACATGGATGATGGGTGCCTTTCACCAGGACGACCAGGAAAAGACTGACCAGGAAACAGTCTAATCTTGCTCTTTATGACTGAGAACGTGTGTTGTTAAGCCAGCTTCCACACAGATATAATCCAATGTCGATGCTGCTCCTTATCTAAGAGAGGAAATAAAAAGTCTTTAGCCAGATATCATAAACAACGTTGTGTAGTGTGAAGCAAGAGAATAAAACAGGTAATGGACTATTAATCACTTTTTCCTCGTATAGCTGATGGATACACTCATATTCCCAAGTCACAGAGCACATGTGGAGGTCTACAGAAAAACACATCAATGCAGACCTGGGGAGATGCATCCGCACAAAACAGGGTCATCCAACTAAAAGTTATGTGAGTCTGGAATGGTGATATATTACTAGAACAAAAAAGAAACCAAAGGCTATATAATATGTGTCTTCTTTTGGTTAACGTATTTTTCCATAAATAAATGGATGGAGACAAAAAGTGAAATCTCTACTCTCAATATATAATATATTTTCACTGATCCTGTCCAGTCTGATGGCAGTGGAGTGGTTTGTCAATCAGTAAAGCCCTGCAAAGCACAAGTCCACATGGTCTGGTGGATATCAGTAGCTACAAGGTTTGACAACAGAGTCCTGAGGCCCATACTTACAAACTGTGTCACTCCAATTTCGTCATGAGCAAAAAGATTGTAAGATATATTCCAACTTTATTTTGAAGATCTGGTGAATTAAAATGTTAAAAAAAAATGTAGACAGCAAAGTGCCTCACATAGGAAGTGATTGATAAAACAACGTGCTGTTGTTATTGTCACCACCAAATTGGGTGAAACACCGAAGCTTGTGATGCCAGGAATTCCCTTTGCTGTACGATATCCTCACTCTGTGATTTGTCAAGCAGTGGGGTAACATTTTGAAAGTACTAAAAGGTTGTGAAATGGCATTTAGGGGATGAGGCTGTGACATGCCAAACAATAGATGGTTTAAATAGACAACAATGACATAAACAGAACAACTGGGGTGCTCCAAACGATATTCTTCCACCCCACCAGTGCAAAGTTTAATTAGTATGTAACTAGCATACTCGTTTACAATTGACATAATGCCACCTCTTTTCATGCAGAGCTGTCAGGGCCTATGAAACTGTAAAATTCCTGACACTAAACATTTGTTGTAAACTGATCCTTCTGAAAGCAACTTAACTAAAGGAAAAAAAGTCAAGATAGATGGTAATCATTTAAAAATTTTAAAATAAAACATAAACCCACTTTTCAAGTCTTTCAGAGAAAAGGGTCCAAACTGCTTTTGGAGAGAGATTCAATATTATATTGGGCTGAGGGCATATTCTGTAAGAGAAAAAAAATATAATGTATGAACCACCAACCCCAGAATGATGAAAAGCAAAATGGGTTAGGAAAAAAATACCCTCAATTGACACAGCTATTTTCATCACATCAAATCAGCCATCTGTTCTTGACATAGTTTATTATCATTAGGAAGATTTTCTCAATTCAGGCATGGTGATGAGGAAAGATGAAGAATTAACCAGATAAATAGCCAATTTGGAAAATTCAAGCTAAGACCCTTTTCCTCAATTTCCATTCCCTCCTTTCTCCCTGCACCAATTACGCCAAGAAAGGGGCTTCAATGACATGATTAGACATGTTTATGGTGGAGTTTTTCTTTTACTCACAGGAGCATAACAAACCACACACACTAGGTATCAAATGATACAGAGGTGATCGACACTGAACAAAAAAATAATAATTTTCTATTGTTAAAAATGACTGTGTAAACTTTGAATGACGCGTAGCCACAGTGAAAGGTGAGGGAATTAATACTCTGAACGGAAGCATAAGAACTGATTTTTTCCTCCTGGAACCTGTTCATTAGAAATACATCAATTTACCTTGGGATCAGAATGTTTAGAGAAGGACATTTCCTCTGAAATCATCGTGGTATAATTCCAGCAGCTCTGTGTGTGATAATCGAGAAGAGAAAAGTAAATGTTGGGCTGTAAGAATAAAATGAAAATATTTAAATCATGCGATTGATACCAACTTCACAAAGTTAAGCTGGAAATTCAGAGAAGCCACACATAAATTCAGGGAAATGTAACTAAAATAAAACTCATGACAAATATCAACAGAACTGCTTAAAAATTGTCCAAGCTGGTTATTTTATCTACTGAATGTCAAAAAACAATCTTGATTCTCCCTCAAATAGTTCACAGATTCTTGATGTTAGATTTATAATACTCTAACACACAGATTTTGGATCAAGCTTGAAATATTATTTTTTTAACTACAAACTTAGAAATGTTAAGGATAGCAATCATTAAAGTTAAGACACACAGACTCCTTCCCAAAGTTTCTTCCATCTTAACATGCAGACAAGCCAGGCATAGGAGCTTATACTTGAAATCCCAACTCTACAGAAGCTAAGGCAGTGGGACTGTCATGAATTCTAGGTGAACCTGGACTACAGAGTGAAACCTTGTCTCAAAAATAAATAAATAGATAAATAATAAATAAATAAATAAATAAATAAGATAAGATAAGATAACTGGTCTAGTTTGCCTTCAATTGCTGTGACAAAACACTATGACCAATACCAACTAGGGAAAGAAAGGGTCTATTCAGTTTACATCTCCCTGATCACAGTTCATCAGGGAGCCCAAGGTAGGAACTTAGGGCAGGAACCTGGAGACAGGAGCTGGAGCACAGGTCATAGAGGAATGCTGCTTACTGGCTTGTTCCTTTGGCCCACACTCAGCCTGCTTTCTTATATAATACAGAACAATCTGCCCAGGGGTGGCACTGCCCACAGTGGGCTAGGCCACCCCACATGACTCAAAAACCAAGAAAATGTTCCACAGACATGGCCACAGGCCCATTCGTTGGAGGCAATTCCCCAGTTGAGGCTCCCTTAACCCAGGTGTGTCAAGTTCACAACTAAAGCTATGCAGCACAATAACCCCCAGATTATTTTGTGTGGACATGTTCTTTGTGGAACAGCATTGATAGCATTTTGTGATTTTTTTCTGATTATTACCAGTTATTAGAAACACATTTTTTCCCCTAAGGCCTCATTCTGCATTCTTCCCCTGTCCTTCCTGCCCTTGGCACACTCTTCTCAGTTTCACCTGCCATAGGATCCTGGTTCTCTTCCTAACTCTTAGGACACGTGATTTCCTTTGTTGCTACAGTGAAGCTAAACACAGTCATAGTCGCTCCATCACAATTCTCCTCAACTTAACAAATGCCTGTTAAGGAGGTGCTGTACCAGACTCTGAGCTGTAGAGTATGTAAACTTGACACACACATGGTCCTTGATTTTCTGGAGCCTAACTTTCTAGTCTGGGAGTAAGAAAAATTAGGCCCTTAGGCCAAATCAAGCTTGTCACCTATTCATAGATTTCTATAAGTAGGTTTTCTTGGGACATAGACATCCAATTTATTTACATATTGTCTGTAGCTGCTTTGGAGCTATACTGAAACAGTTAAATAGCGTAAAACATTTGCTCCCTGGCCCTTTACAGAGAATTCAGATAGTCTTGAGATTTATCTTTAACTGTTCCAGTTCTTCCCTTCTTATAGAGTATACTGTTAATGTCCTGTTTCTGTGACTCCAACACAGAAATGACTACACATTTAAATTTCAATCACTATTCCTACCTGTCTGCTTAGCTTATCCACACATGTACAAACCAGGTAGTACATGACCATTGTAGGATAACTGAAATTAAGCTTATGTTTTCCCATGTGCCAGCTGTTTCCTATCATTCCCAATAACTAGTATTTAATAGTTTAGTCTTGGGACTGGAGAGATGGCTCCGTGTTTAAAAGCACTGGCTGCTCTTGGAGAGGACCAAGGTTCTGTTCCCAGCACCCACATGGCAGCTAACAACCATCTGTAACTCCAGTTCTAGGGGATCCGATGCCCTCTTCTGATCTGTGGTCATTGCATGACATGGGTGTGCTTAATGCACATACAAGCAATACACTCATACACATAAATAAAAATAAATAAATTTTTTTTAAAAAAATTAGAGTTTTTCATTTTCATCCAACATCCAGGCAACAACAACCAAAAGAAAGAACACAGAGTCTTTGTGTCCATTTGGTAACTCTTGTTTTTATTGCCACTGCCTCATTCCTGGACTCCAAAATCCGGGACTGTAAATGTTACAAAGTCATGCTATGATCATTGCATCTGCAATGCTCTTGGATTCACTGTCCCTAAAATATCATCTTGGGTATAGCATCTTAATCTGTAGTTGCTTTCCACTGAGATTCTCAGTCTGTGGCTGAGGCCCTATTTTGTAAGTTTGCTGCAAATTTACTTCAAGAGGTCCACAAATACAAGCAATGCCTAGAGACAGAGCACATACTTAGTATGCTGAGTAGATACATCATAATCTCCATTTTCCAAATGTGTGCAGATGCTCTGATAACCGAAATAAAAAATGTGTTGACTAAAGTTTCCAGTCTCGTTGTAACTTTTTCTCATTCTCTATTTTTCCCAGCAATTGATTCTAAAGGTGCAACTACTTTTTGACTGTATTTTGTAAGGGAAAGGTCTTCCGAGGCCACTAATGCTTACACTGTCCTTAGGGAGGATTTTTATTGATTCACAATGGAACTATGAGAATTCAAGGCTTCAGCATTGGAGGAAAAAAATCAAAACACAAAAATATCTAAATGCAACTCTCGCCTTTCCTTTCCTGGCCTCTCTGATTGGCGAAAACTATGGATTTGAAGGGTTTCACGGGGTACAGAAAGACTTTAGAAAGCTTCCCAAACCTAATGTGGTTCTAGGCATCAAGGGAAAGGAACTTGAGGGCTCCTAGAGACCTCTATACAGTCTAGCTCTGGGCGTCCAAGATGTGCAGATGAGGATTTCAAACACAAGTTTCAGAAATGGTATTACAGCAGGTTCCTACACTCAAGGCAAAGAACATGACTGGGCCTGTGAGTGATTAGCTAGGAGTACGTCATCATCCAATACCATGGCAGCCAGTTTAGTGTGCTTTTTATACAAGCTTTGTTTAGCACTCACAGCTACTCTTTGCTATATATATATAT